GAAACCTAAGCAACTAGTTGCCCGCCTTCTTCGCTGTTTGTCCTGAAAATAAAATAACAGCAGTTCAAGTGGTGGAACTGCTCAAATGACACTGTAAAGCGAGTAAAATAAACAGGCTTCATTGGTTCTTTAAGCTGGCGAATGAAACGAAGATGGGGGCCCAGCTCGATGTGCCTGTTGCCTTTAGTGTTGCCGCTGCTGTTGGTTTTGCTTATTATGCGCGTGCTGTGTTGTGTTCTTGCTGTGCTTGTAAATCACACTACTTCCGGCGGGCGCTTATATTTACACTTATACACTTGCCTTTAAGGAAACGCACAAACAGACAGTCAGGCGGTCGGACAGACACTCCGTCAGATAAGCAAGAGGCGTGCTGCCGTTGGCAACAGTTTTCTGCAATTGTTTCTGTGTTTGTTGCTGTTATTATTGTTGTTGTCATTGTTGTTCGGGCACAGGTTTTGCGACTTGCCTTTTGCGCAATATTATTGTAGTCAGCTTTGTTGCGTTGCTCGCTTGGCCGCCGCTGGCTGCCAATTTGTCCGTCTCCTTGTTGTGTGTACGTAAGTGTGGGTGTTTTGACGTTTAATCAACGCATTGTGCCATTTAACTTTACAAACAGAGCCTAAGCGCCTACACACACGCACCACACACACGGTCGCACACACTCAAAGCAATTTCGTGCGGCCTGTCGTTTTGTGTCCCTGTTTTCTGTATCTCCTGGTGACCCTCTGCTTTCCCCCCTATATGTATTCGCCTGCCTTATCCGGAGCAGTTTAATAACAATGCGGCTACATAAAAACACTTTCAAGTGCTGTTTAAAAATGTATAAGAAGTCATATTGGTCACCGAAGTCTAACTAGCAATAAGAGCTGGCAATGTTGCATTCCAAATGCAAGCCACTTTTTCATTTCCTAAATTTAGGTTCTTTATATATTCATCCTGCTCAAAATGTTGCCCAAGGAAAACTACAAAGGGAATTACACTGAACGATTTCTAAGTATCAAATACTGTACTTGTACTGTTCTTGTGTGTAAAGCGTATTTGAAATAAAAAACAAAATACATTACTTGGAATTTCAAATTTCAAACAAGAAGTAATAATAATAATGTAGCGAAAACAAATTCTTTGAAAAGATTAGTATCATTGTTTTATGATGTTTATAGTGTAAGCTCTTTAAATTTTAGTCAAAAAAGAGACTAATAAGATTCCGTTGAACAAAGGAGAAAACTCGAAAGTGTTTATGTTGGGAATTCAGCATGAGACTTTTCCTTGTAGGAACTTAGTAATACTTCTCTGACTACCCTCTGCAGCTGTCTTCTGACATTTGTTGTCCAATTTTATTGCCAATTAAATGCAGCAGCTGCTATTCCCGTTCCCATGTATTGTGTCTAACCTTTGTTTATTATTCCATTACACACTCACACATATACAAAGTGCTGTGAAGTCTATGAAGCGAATTCTGTCAAGCTCTTTCCATGCTAATTGTTTCAATTGCAACTGTTGAAATAGTGAAAAATCAGAATTTAATAAAGAACGTTCTGAATGTGTTTAATGCGTGTAATGCCATAAAAAGTAGCTCTACATTTATTCCAGCGGTCATTTATCGAGGGACTTTTATTTTTATTTAATGTCCATTGTTGATTGTTAACGGGATTTTAATAATGTAAATACAAAAAAAGGAAGGGAAACACTTACCAATCCCGTAAGTGACGCACTGCTTGACTATGAGATACCCTGTGCTCAGACTTGATGGAATGATGTGCAGTATTCTATCGATTGTTCTTCGCTGAATTTTGATATTTTGGTCAAAATTCACTTAAAAATTGGTATAGCTGGAAAGTTTCAACCGAATCTTCTGCGATATAAAAGCTAAAGATAGTTACACAATTGCTGATCTCTATTAACTATTTTATAATACCAGATTCGAGCAGGCATTGTGTGCAGGGTGTGTAAGCGTTGTGATGTTTGACAGCGTTTAAAATGTGTTCATTTAATGAATTTGTTCCTGTCAGCCCGTGACACTCAAAAGCAATTAATGTAATTTTTGTATAATCTCAAGAGTCTTTTTTATTCACACAATGAGCTAATGATCAGCGTATGAAAAACTGAAGCTCTGCCTGCCAATTAAGCCCGTTTATTGTAAATTCAAGCGTAATCCTTAAATATTGCACTTAAATAATTATATAAATATTGATGAATCTACACTGGTAGCCGACTCAGTTGGCCATTTTCTGACAATCAATGTTGGCCAAGTTATGAATTAATAATTCATACTGCTTGAATGTAAAGCAGCGACACGAAGTCGAAGCTGAAAACACCTTTGGGCTCACTGTGAGTCGGGCAATTACTTAAACGTAATTATTAAATAATGAAATTTAACTAGAAGATTGTGAAAGCGGCGCACTGACAAATGTTGATTCAAGAAGCTTATGTTAATATTGAAATTGAAATTTAACCCATGAAATATTCAAATCAACTTAACATTGAATAGCACAAAAACAAGCCCCTAAACTCAACAAGTTAAATAATTTATACAAAATCACTTTGAATAACGATTTGTTTCATTCAATACATCTTGCCTTGCCCATATCTGTAATTCGAATCTCGTAAATCTGGCACTTTAGACGCTTAATTGGAATATCCATTGCACTTTTGACATCTTGTTATTTATTGAATTTCATTGACGCTCAAAGCCTTGAGGCATTTCTCATCTATTGGCATGAAATATGGGGCGAGCGCCGCCGGGTCATGTAATTAGGGCTGCGCTTTTCAAGCAATTAGCAGCTTTTAAGCAGCTTAAACAATGCGTCCACAAAAACTCAAAGGCGCACAGTAAAATTAATTTAATAAATTTAGCAGCAGTAAACAGGTGTACACATACTCCCTTGTTATTTTCTCTCGTCGGCTGCAGACAAGTTAAATATACTTTTGCAGCAATGGCAATTTTATGTTTAAATTAATTAATTGCATGTGTCGGCGGTTTTGAGGCTGCTTTTTAGCATTCTCATTTGCATTTTTGCTGCTTATGTTCTTGTATGCGTACATTTCTGTGGGAAATAAATGTTACACATACGCCTCGTGGGTCGCACAAAAAGAGCTGTCAAGTGTGCGTGTGCTGAGAACATTGAATACCCTTTATTATACAAAAATGTACACTGTGCATTTTGTTTCATATATTTACCTTTGTATAAAATAATATAAATCTAAGAGACCAGGGAAATTACGAAAATTTGGAACACACTCATAACGATAATATCATAAATAAAGCCTTTTAAATAATATGTTCTGAACATTAATTTTACTTTATCTCTATTTATATGGACGTTTCTAATGAGGTGCAACTGACAATAAGTACTTGATAAACAAACAAATTATTTAAAAAAGAAAATTTAAAAAGTGCAACTGATAACTGATTGTACAAATTTGGAAGAATTTATCCACATTTTGACTAGTCTTCTATTCCGAAAAGCCTAAAAAGTTGTTAATGCTTCATTTGTGATCGAAAAATCTCTGACTTAAAGTTGTCATCTAAGCTTGTGCTATCGTTTTGAAATATTATAAAAATAAAAACGAATTTAAAACTCAAATGAGTTTTCAATCAAACGTTTACGCAATTATAACGTTCCACTGCCAATAGGTAGTCACTAGTGTAGGAAATATATTTTATTCCTCTAAAATGAATACGAAATTTAATTTTATTTTTGTAATGAATGAAATTCAATTATTTTTTTTTTAATTAAAAACTGTATTTTTTTGCGGACAAGTCCTGCTGCTTATAAGTCTAGACCGTTGCAAACTTTGATTGAAAGCTATTATACCTTCGTCTGACGTCTGAAGAGTGAAAATCATTATTCACAAGGGTTGTCTGGCTTGCATATTAATGCCGCCGAGTGGTCATAACAGCAGAGCTGGAAAGCCTACGCATTCGTTATCCTTGGACCATTAAGACCTTCAAATATTTTCAACGTTTTAATTGAATTTTTTTTTTTTATTTGCATTGCATGCTGAGTTTTTGTAGCTGGACTCACAATTAATAAATTCATTCGGCCAACTCGATTCACATGTAGGAACAGCGCTCAGTTGTGGTTGGCAATCGAAATAAATTCATGCTTGTGTAGCATTGGCCACCTACCCGAAGGCAAAGATGAGCTAACCACAGAAATGCCAACATGGAAATACATACATAGCAGAAATGCCAAGCACACACACGAGTGCACCCGCACTCGCAGACAGACTTGCGGACTAGCAAAACCACATTGCAAATTCGCACTGACAGACACACATCCCAGCTGGAACGGTATCGGATTAGTTTTACAAATTAATTATATAATGGCCTAGAAATTTAGCATTTTAAGCGTAATAGAATAGAAGTTTGTCGATTTTAATTATGAATAATGCGGTTTGCTTTGCCTTCTGTCTTATGTCTTGGCCCCAACCAAGTGCCTTGCTCCTATGCAACCGCATACGCCGAATGATTGATAGTTTCTATGATAGGCCCAGCCAACCACAGCAAGACATGTTAACCACAGACAACAAACCAACCACGCACCACAAGGCTCTGTTGGTTGAAGGGGAGGCTGAGGAGGACACATCGTATTTGAACATCGGAGGCCAGCGAAAACTAATGCTTGTCGTTTAATTAGTGTAAAATGTTTCATTCTCGAGCAGTTTGTGTCACATATACAATTTATATATTTAATTAGTTTAGCGTAAGGACAAAGTCAAAGCCTTTGATGTTAATTAAAACTTGGCGTAGCCCCCGCACTCTGTTTATACTAAAAAGCCGCGTTGCCCCATGTTTCCATGTGGCAACTTAAATGGCAAGTAATTAAGAGGGAAATTCATAGAGACAAAGGATAATATGCTGGCATGGGCTGGCATAGCATATGTTGCCAATGCAGGGATAAAGTGCTTGGGCATAGAATAAGAGACATGTTAGTTTTGTTGCGGCTTAGTTAAAAGTCACTTAAAATAATATTCTTTATCTCCTTTTGACATTGCAGCTGACATCGTATTTCAATGAGACGAGCTGGACAAACGCCTCTGAAATGGATACAATAGTTGGTGAGGAACCGGAACCGCTCTCACTTGTGTCAATTGTAGTTGTTGGTAAAGTAAATGTCGTTGAACGTCTAACAAGCGAAACAGACACCGGCATCGTCACCACCCGCAACATTCGCATCCTCGGCACCACCACCACCTGCACGCGTACTTGTCCACTTTGCACAGTATACAATAAAATATTTGCTGTTCAATTAGCGCACAGAAACGCATGTGGCCTTATTATACAAACAAACTCTCACACGCGGACACACTTATGCACACGCACACATTCTTGTCATTGGTTCGACCCCCTTATGTATGCTATATTTATGAATGTTCACGTTTCCTTTCTACAATATACATGCGTCTAATCTGCCACTCTCTGCCCCGCTGTAGGCGTCTTTTTATCGTTGCTGATATTCCTTTCGGTTGCCGGCAATATACTCGTCTGCCTGGCCATCTATACGGAGCGCAGCCTGCGCCGCATTGGCAATTTGTTTTTGGCCTCATTAGCGATTGCGGATCTGTTTGTGGCCTCTCTGGTGATGACATTCGCGGGCGTCAACGATTTGCTTGGTAAGTACGAATATCATTCGCAGACAGTGTAACGGAAATTTGCAATTGAAATTGTCGAGCAATAAATTTATGTAAAATGCTGCAGGCTGTTGCGCAAATAAACCACTCGACAACATGCAAAAACTGCGCCTCCATGGGGCTAATGGAACCAGTTGGTGGGGTAACGGAGGCGTTCTTGTGAGCCCATTTGACATGCCTGGCAGCGCTTAAAGCGGGGATCTTGTGGGGCTCTGTGCAGTGCCTTTTAAAGTGTCAGCTGCACTGTCGCTCCGGTTGAGTGCTCACAAAGCCAGTCCTTCACTGGGTGCACAATACATATGCCACCGCATGCAGTCGCTTGCAAAAAGGTGAAACTACTTAGCCAACAGGAATTTTCATTTTTTGCCATGGCTCAGCCTCAGTTTCACTGCTTTTAGCTAATATACAAAGTTTACTTGCAAACCACAAATACATGCTTTATATAGGAATTATTATGCTTTGACTACACTCAAGCATAATGGCAGAACCCAACTGAGCTGCAGCTGAAGCCTTGAATCCTTGAAGTCTTTTAATTTGATGTTGACAAAGTTATCAGGTTATCAGCAGGCGGAAGCTAAGACTCACTGAAGCGGTTGTTCTCTTGAGAGTTTTGCATTTGGAGAGGTTAAATCGCGTTCCCTAAAATTTAAGTTCAAGCCTTGAATGGACGACTTCGTAAATGGCTGGCAAATTAGCGATAGGCCAAGACGCTTTGAAGACTTGTTGGCATTAACTGAGAGCTACCACAACTTATATAGACGACATGTTCGGCCTGAGACAGCATGCAGCTGGCCTCAATGCGTGTTCAGCGAGTACCCAATGAGAGGGCAAAGCACAAACAAATACATAGGTTGGAGGAAATGTGCTGAAGTCTAGTGATGCGTTACATCGGCAACAGAACAGAACAGAGATACAAACTGGTATATATGTGTGCCATATATGAAGTTGTATCTTTGTGATTCCGTTTGTCTGCTTGGGCGTAAAAATAATAAACGGCTTTGCTACTTCAATAAGGATTCCGAACTTGGTCATGGATTCAGACACTCTTGATGCTGCTGCTGCTGCTGCCTAAGCGGAAAGTGTGAAAAAATAAATAAAAATTCTCTGCTTGCAAGAGTGTTGAAGACAAACAGCATCTGGAGTGTCGGCTGAGGTGCCTAAGGGCCAGCATATATGTCGTAGTACACATGTGGATCGAGAGCTGTTCAGCCAAATTATTTTCGACAAAGTGCCGGCAAACATGAACCTGTGAGGGTGCCAGTAAAACAACATTCGGCACGCTCCAAGGCTGGCAAATCAGCAAATAAACGCACAAGCTCCAGAATATTTATACAAATTTGAGCAACAACAGGCCACAGGGACACTGAGAGGTGGCAACAGCTGCGCCAGTTCACAAAATACACAAGCAAAGTCATTGAATATACTCATATCGCAGATTGGGCACAAGCACTAAGTATTTATAAATATATATAGACCTGTATGCCCTGAAAGCAGCTCGAATTATTTGTCGATTCGTCGACTTGCCTTGCCAGTCAATGTAAGTGCTCGTTTCGAGCAGCCGGGAGCAATGCTTAAAAACTCACAATGCCATTGTCGAGAGATGTGAATGCGAATTCACACTAGTCTAAGGATGTAACCTGCAATGCTGTGTCATATTTTATATATTTTTTTTGTATGTGTATATAGACATATATATTTACAAATCATCCTTGTCGCAATATCTCATACAGCTTGACAGACAGCCTGAAAGGCATATCAAAACATTTGTCATCAGCTTTAAATTGTCAAAGGGTATGCATTAACGGAGCATAATTGATACCAATTCCCAACTGGATTGCTATGTGGCGTTCACAAGCAGTGAATAAACAGGTTGAGTGGTTAAAAATGAAAACTTTAAATTTATTTCAATTACATAACTTACTGGCATGTTTATAAAATATTTAAATTGTGGCTTCAATTAATTCTTTTTAAAATAAATTTAGTGCTAGTGGGGCATAGTATGTGTGACTCGATCGTTGAAATATATCAGGTATAAGCTGTTTGCAGTCGAGGATATTTCTTTCCACACATAAATGATGGAAAATAACACTGACCTGTGACACAAGGCTTCTTATTTATATTAAACTATCTACTTGTAAGTGAATTAAAAAGTGAAGCATATTTAAAAAGTCGATAAAGAAACCATTGAGAAGTCGTTATCTTGCAGCCAGATATCTGCAGTAGAGTGCGACGGCAGATAACTATTGAAAGCGGCTTGGCCTGTGATGATGGCAGAGCCTTTTTGCTTACGCGTCACACACTCAGCGCTAAAGAGCTATATCCTGTGCCACACATGGCGTAGCATAAAAGCCATCATAAGCATGATGTATGCATGTCATCAAATATCATGAAATCAGCGCCCATCCACGAGTAGTGAATAAATGTGTTTGGCTTTGAGATCTGATATTGAATTTATTGTGACCCCACATTTATGTATTTATGCGTGCGATAGTGATTTCCCACACGGGTTCAATGGACACAGCACCGGACATCCGTTTCGGTTGTTAGTTCAGAGCACGCCCAAGCCTTTCATGAGGTTCTGGGGGCTCGAAACACTTTCCGATTCCTTTTTCATAATTACAGCGTACTTACAGAAATGCCATGAAAAGGGCTCATTTTATTTCTGCCACAAAGAGTCATATGTAACAAGCGTACATGAACATATTGAAATACAGAGGCTGAAGCTGACAGGAAACGGAAATTAATTTATGAAATCGTTTAAACTCAATTTGCGTTGTGAATAAGTAAATAAAAACAGGCCTGCTTGCAAGACTACTATAGATTTGATAGCCTGATCGACAGCCAGATGCCGTATAATTTTAACCGGAAAGGGAACTCGTGCTCTCAGCTTAAAGCCGCTCAAGAAAAATAGTTGTAACGTTTCTGTTTTTGATAACAAACTGAATTCGATGCTTGTACATTTAATTCAAAGTGACAGCTTTACTTGTAAACATTTCCAAGGAGGAAAATATATTTGAAAATTTTCCAAGCAGATTCAGTTTACTTGAACAGGACAACAGGGACATTTAAAATATTCACATATATGCTTCACATGGAGCACTTGATAAGCTGCATGTTATACTAACATGCTAGCATGCAAGCCACTTTGCATTTTCTGAGCATACCCTTTCATAAACTAAGGGATATTTAAAGCGATGGACTCGGTGGCCTTTTTTTTTTTGTTGCTCGTTACATATGCTGTTGTTACATTTACTGGCGTTGTCGAGAAAATTAAGAGTTTCCCTCTTGCCCCTGTCAACCGGAACATGGCAATTTCCGCTCCAGCTCGTATTTATCCACTTACATTGCATTTACCCAGTGGAGCAGCCGTATGCAAAAAGTTATTAAGTATTTTTCACAAGCAATCAGTCCAGCAGTTAGTCAATCATTCGGCCAATCAATCAATCAATCAATCAAGAGCTCAACTATTACCTTTCTTTTTTTTTGTATTTCAGGCTATTGGATCTTTGGTGCAGAGTTTTGTGATACTTGGGTGGCCTTTGATGTCATGTGCTCGACGGCATCTATTTTGAATCTGTGCGCCATATCCATGGACCGTTACATACACATCAAGGACCCGCTCAGGTGAGTACCGTAACTAATCATGATGATGACAACGCTGATGAAACTGTCACATGCATGAATTACACAATTTATCAATAGGTTCAGCTGCCTGTCATCGCGTTCTCCACACGAATCTATCGAAATTAATTGTGCATCGGTCCCCGGCCAGTAGAATGTCCTGTACCAAACGAGCATGTATGTCCCTGCGCCCCCTTCTATTGATTTTAGCATTGAGTACCAGAGTTATACGTATTTAGAGCCGAAAGCAGCGCATATTTGCTGTCTGTCAGCAAGTGAGTGGAACATATTATTGATGTGACATTGACGCTCCAATGAAATCCCGATTAAATATCGATTTATTAAAAACAGACCTGCCAAGTGGCATAGACTGCCCCCCTGCCCCACTGCTATCTCATGCATATTGCTCATCCGTCGCGTTGCCATGCACGTCACGTTTCTCATTGCCAGCTCTTGGTCGTTCACGTTGCGGTGCTTCAGGCCCTCGACTTGTTTATGGCGCCGCCTCTCATTAATCGCAGCACATAATTGTTTCATTAGTAACAGATTTATTGGGCATTAACAATATTTTATTTATTTTTTGCTAGCTAGCAGGATCAGTACGCTCTTCGCATGGATGTGGCTTCATTTTTGTTTCTGCGCTGTGTGTTAAACTTTACTAAGCACTTTTGCTGCATCACGAGCCTCTGATTTGTGGCTTTAGTTAGCCAAACAGGCACTTAGTATATACTTCAACTTATTCCGCAAGTCATTCCAATAAGCCAAACGACTATCCTAATAGCTTTTCAATTGACCATCTACGGCGGAACTGAAAGAAAGCTGAACACAATTATTTGGGCACTTTTGCACTTTCTTGATTGAAATATCCAAATGACCTATTTCTTAAAAAAAAATAAGGTGTGCGAGTTACTTTAAGTAGAGCTCAATCTAACGATGACTGACTAACAAATATTAGTCAAATACGGTCAAAGAATTTATGCATTGATATTTCGAGGCCGGCATTGCAGTTTATATTTTAGCATAAACTGAAATTTTTAATTGTAGTTACCCAAAAACAGTCGAGAAAACAATCATTTTTTCTCAAAAACCAACTCAATGCATACGTATAAAAAGCCACAACCATTTCTCTTACCCTATTTTGTTAATGTAGTTTGTGTAAGGATTAGTGTGCAACTTTTATATAAAAATATGTTGGAGTTAAAAAAAAGTCTTTCCACGTTCATAAATAAGATATGCTCATAAATAGAACATTCAGCTTGCAAGCCCTGATTTGAATCAAAAGTGGATTTGAATTAAATCTCTGCTTGAACTGATTTTGACCATATACTTAACAAATTATTTATATATATATATTTATACATGCCAGAACTAAAAGTATAACCTACACGCGATTAGGCGAATGACAAAAAGATTAGAATTGAGAATAGACTTTTTAGCCTTATATGAGCTAAGTACTCTAGGAAATTGGCACTCAATTTTTATGTGCTTCCTTCGCTTAGGTCATAAAGAATTCCAGCCATTAGCGCTGTTCGAGTTCTGTTATTTCTTAAAGGCGCACGATTTTCACCTGCTGCCACCAATTTAAACTTAAGCTTCCACACACACACACAGATATATATGCCCTGTAAGTACAAGTGTGTGTGCTTGACAAACACAATGAAATTGTGCCAACTCAGCTGGTCTCCAGCGTTGCTGTGCCGTGTCTAATGCCTGGGTGTGACACAATGTCTTGATCGGCTGCTTATATTGCATTCTGTCAGTTGGCCAACTTGCGGGCCCTATGCAAGCTGCGTGTTATGTTTGTTTTGTGGTAGCAGAGCTTCCACTGACTGCCGAAACAAGTAGCGCAGGGACGGACAATGGTCAATACAGAAAGTGGAAACAACTTTATCAGCGTTTCGTTTGGGCCTCATTGTGGCACAACAATTGTGTGTTAATTAAATTTTTTTGGCAACGCCGCAACCGCAAAACGGGAAACCAACCAAAATTCGGAAGCTCAAATAAAACAATTTTTTGACAAAATCAAACGAAAAATGTATGACATGTCAGCGGCAAGCAACAACAAACTCTTCGCTAGCCACATACACGTGCCTCCCTTAGTTGTGTGTGGGTGTGGGTGTGCTACTGTGTGTGCGTATTGTTCAAAATGGCGGTGGCCAAGTCGCTGACAGCTAAAGACAAATTCACAGCAGCTATACAAACGAAATTAATGTGGCTCAGCGGCTGTTAAGGGCATTGCCAGTGGGTGGTACGAAGTGGTCATCGTTTGAAAAAAAAAAGATGTTGTCCACATATGACAACGAGACATTTCTGGCTGTGGGTAACACGCTGGCAGCTGCTGTCGCTGTTGCGAAGAGCCATAATAAATCCTTTGATGCTATTTTCAGCACAAGCCAAGAGTGACACAAATAAGAGTGTTCTAGTGGAGACTGCCCGAATAGGGTATACCCTGCAATCAGCGTCGAGCTGGCGCTACAATCCACACATACTCATGGGCTGGCATGCCGCAAGCGGAGCACGTTGGTGCGGCTGTGCTTGTTCTTCCCTTACCATAAGACTATGGGAAATAGTTTCGTGATTCACTGTGGTGTTCTCTGTTCAATCTTTCTGAAATTTGCATCTTATATGCAAGGCATCCCAATAGTAAAATATTTCGTGTTTCATACCATTCTAGTTTTTGTAAGCTACACGATGTGTTCAAAGAAGAGGATTTCGATATCGATTTATATCGATTTATTTGAAATTTCAAGTCTGACTGACAAACAAACGGACTTGGCTAAATCAACTAGGCTATTGATGATGACAAAAACTATTACATGGAGCTGCAGATGCCTCCTCCTGCGTCTCACATACATTTTCATAAAGTTATTAAACCCTTTTTTCTCATTTTCCATAGGTTCAGGGTATCAAAATATTTAGCCCATCATGACCCACCACATTCCTGCTGCTTGCTGTCCATCGTCTGTCTATTTATGTGCTTACTTTCTAGCTTACTGGCATTTGTTGCTCCACTTGCACCTGCCACGTCTGACATGCCGCAAGCTACAGTTTGGTCGTTTATTAAAAATGTTACACAACATTCGTATAGAATCGCCACACGCCCTCTTTGTGTGCATGTGTGTGTTTGTGAATTAAATTAGATTTTTTATTTGGAAGCCTTCTCTGAACATAACGAGTTGACGTACATCATCCACTTGCCAAAGTTGACTTGGTCGTAAACTGCGGATTTAGGTGGCATATTTTTTGCTGGCCAAAACAACGGAATGCACAAAGTTTGTTGGCAATTTCATTAATTTTAGAGTGATTCAAAGCTGCTTCAGTAGCTTCTCTTAATTAAGCCATGAAAAGTTTTTTATATTAAGTGAAAATTTATTAAGCCATCATTTTTAAGATAAATGGTTCAACCTAATCAAGCTGTGAATTCTATTGAGTTAACAGCTACATTTTGTAGCTAAAAATAATTTGTTGAAAGAATTTCTTTGCAGATTATTTTAGAATTTAATATTACTTTTCATTATCTCAAGCAAAAAATTGTTGTTCCTTAACTGAAAGTTGCTTGAGGAGAAACAAAAGCATTGCGCAGTTTTTGGTAAATTTGCATTTGACCTCCAGGCCAATTTAAATACATTTAAATCTAGTTTGGCTACTGCGTACCCCTGCGCCTAAGTCCATTATACTGAGGCCCGAGTGTGTCTACGGCCCTCATTTAAGTCGCCAAAAGCCTGCCTAGCACTCCTGCGAGAATGCCACGCCCAACTCCCTAGTGATTCTCTTCGGCAGCAAAAATACCACGCGTAGCAGCATATTTATGACTCTATTTCTTTTATACTCTTTGAAGAGAGCATTAAAGCTGCGTACTAAAGAATGTCAAATATATAAAATCAAAAAATAACATAACAAGCAAATCAAATTGATCGAATGTATAATGTTATTTAACTTAATTTGATCTCATGCGATCGAACTGCTTTAAAATCATCTAAGATAGTCTAATTTAAAAAATTTAGGACACAATTGATAAAATCTAGGAATATAAGATGATTAAAAACTTTCAGAGCCTAACTAAGAAAATGCATTTTTCTATAAATTAGATAAAAAAGAAAAAATTACAAAATAAATCAGAAAAAATGTAATATTTTTCAAGTCATTTTTCTAAGATTTATTTCTATAAATTTTTCTTTCTTAACTACGTTTTAGAATTTACTTCAATGATTTTTTCCCACCTAACTAATTTAAGAACAACATATGTTTCTTAGACTACGCCTTTATAGTTGTCAAGCCTCTTATAATATAAATATGTGATGATGCCTAACTTATTTTACTCGGTTTATAAACTATACTATAGAAAGACAATGTAAAAACTCTAATTAAAAGCCCAAATCTTCAAGTGTATTTAATCTTCGTCACGCCGAAGACAATTTATATTATTTTTACGGCCTGGATGTTGATGGGCGTCTGCGTCTGGTTCTGAATACTGCGTGTCTAGCGGTATTACTGCTGGCCCAGCAGGCGTTGGTCTTTATGCAAATCTGATTTATTTGCATGTCAAAGTGGGGACACCATTTGAGCTCTTCAGTTTTTCATGATGCTGCCCGACGTGCCAAAGTTCGCGAACTGACAGCGCTGGCGTCTCATTAGGGTGGCCAACTCTGCAGCTAAAAATGTTGGCGTATTTTCTGAGCGTCTTAGAATAATTGCAAGCGTTTAATTTAATTGCGCCTGCCAAGATTTGCGCGCGGCCAGCAAAAATTGGCAAAAAAAAAAAAAAAACGAAAGGCACTAAAAAACATAATTTGAATGAAAAGCGCGTGCAAATCTAATTAGAAGCAGGCGATGACAAAGTTAAAATAATGGTAGATTAAGAAAAAAAAGTTGTTTTGTGCGATAAAGTTAAAGCTGGCAGCGTCTGTTATCATCGTAACTGTCAGGCCCAGAGCGAACATATGAGTGCATGCATAAAATTCACTTTAAACTGCAATAAAAAGGGACGCCAACTTTTATGGTGGCCAGAGAGAGACGGCGAACTGAATTGGTTTTGCATGAGCGAGCGAGAGGTACAGTACAGTTAAGCGACAAAGGCCAACGAGAATGTCGCTTTGGGGAATGTTTGTAATTGTGTGTTTTGGCCTGGTTGGGTGTGGATTTGGTTTTGGGTTAAGCACACTGTCATATGCCTGCAACAGCAACAGCATGTGCTTGCAACATTTAAGCACGCTCGCAAAAACTCATAAAACATCACATGACAAGCGGCAAACAAAATAAACGCCCAAGTTAACCGAACTATGCAGTCTTACCCGTCCACAAACATAAGCAAAATAGATGGTTGTCATTGTGCGTGCCTGACTGTAATTTCTTAAGTGCGTGTGGCACACACACACCCCCACACACACACGCACACACACTGGCAACATTAAATGCAAATGCGGCCAATTTTGCTCTGAGGCTGAGGCACTCACACACACGTTTTCAATTAGCTCTTTGAGGCACGATTGGCTGCTCTATCAATGGGCGCGTGTGACGCCACTTGGCACTTGCATAGCAAAGTCTGATGGGTGATATGGCTGATGGGTGCCAGGTGTTTGCACTTTCAGGCAACGCCTGTGCCTCTCTCTGCCTCCGCCCCAATAGGGACCGAATAGGCTTTGGGCTAGATGCCAACTAAATGGCAACCGCTGCGGGCTGCTGCCGTTGCTGCTCGAATGGAAATCAATTTTGGTGCCATATGAAATCGAATTTGTTTGTGAATACAATTACCTAAACTTCCTTTTCCGTTTCGCAACGCTCGTCGCTTGTCATCTGTAGTATTTTTGGTCGGCGCATTGGCTGAGTGCGTCTTTGTATTGAAATCGAATTATTCTGTTTGATTTCCTGCCCCATGTCTATCGCACAGCCAGCGGTTACATTTGCACAAGCCAAAATGCTGCGGCAAAAGGCAATATATACACACACACACACACACACACACGCACATAAAATGCCAACAGCCTTAGGTTTCTGCCTGCTCATTTCCGCTGCTGTAAAAGCAAATTGTGCGTCCGCTGTCAAAATCGAAGTGCTATGAAAAACCGCACACCATGATTTGCATACGTCACTAGCACCGCCAAGCACCACATTGCGTTTGCGAATGCTTAATTTCGTTGGTTTGTGCTGCGGCTGGGTTTCGGTTTAGGTCGATTTACCGCAGACTGTTCTGTTCTGTTCGGGTAATTAATGACATGCAACAAGGCCGTACCACTGTGCGTATTACACGAACGCAGCTACGCCTCATGCACACCTTGGGCTAACTGGATTCTGGCCGCTGCATTCCAACACTTGTCACACACGCCCCAGAGCTGATGTCGCCCCAGCTGCCTCCAACACGCAAAGCCACAATCACAACAAGGCCCATTTTCTAGTGATTGTTGCTCTTGCTGCTACCATGTCGAGTTCTTGTTTTTGTTGCCTACCCTTTGCTGCTGGCAACCGCAAGGAACAATCACAATCACTTCCTATACTCCAAATTGATGTGCTCCTTTCCCTCGCTTTCATTGCAGATACGGACGATGGGTGACACGCCGGGTGGCTGTTATTACCATTGCAGCTATTTGGCTGCTGGCAGCGTTCGTCTCGTTTGTACCCATCTCGCTGGGGATCCATCGACCCGACCAGCCGCTGATTTTCGAGGATAATGGCAAGAAGTACCCCACATGCGCTCTGGATCTGACGCCCACGTATGCTGTCGTCTCCAGCTGTATCAGTTTCTACTTTCCCTGCGTGGTCATGATTGGCATTTACTGTCGGTGAGTATGGACAAAAAAGGCCGATGGATGTCATAAAGTGCTCTGAAACATTTGCACATAAAGTACTTATAGTTGGCCCAAAAGCCGCAAGTGCACAATTATTCAGCGCTAAAATATGACATTAGAAACAAAAAGAAAAGCCACAAAAGAAAATTAAATTCCTGGCAATAACAGGAATGCGAAAAGTTTGAAATGATATTTGCGTTGACGGCGCGTATCGGAAACGACTCCAACGCAAGGCCAAAAAAATACGTTTACCTTAAACATTTATTTGACCTGTTATAATTTTGCTAAATATTTAAAATGTGCTACGGAATTAACCTTCATCTTATACAAATTATACGTAACCTAGTTCCCAGGAACAGGTCTAACTAGTAGACCCTAACACATTTAATTAGGCTCATTAATCTCAAAAACATTAGTTGAGAATAAGGTTAAGTTTCACCGTGCCAACTATCAAATGGGGCTCAAGGAAAAAATAATAAGAATTTGAATATTTTTATGTGTTTCGCAAAGTCGTAAAACGTAAATAATAAAATGTGGTAAACACTTTCGAAATTGTTGTCGCAATGCTGAAAGGCCGCAAGGACTTTGGAGCTGATGTTGCCCAGGCACGAGAAGGGATAACTGCGAGCTGGCAGTTGCGAGAACGGGAAATAAGGCAAACAAATAAGCGCACGCATTAGTGTCCAGCTAAGTAATCCCCTAGCAGAGCCAAAGGCGGACCGGCGGTCAAAGACTGGGGCGTGTGCAAAAAGGGCTAGACAAAACGACCAAGGAGGGCAACAGGACGCCAACATCATCAACACCAACAGCAACAACAGCAAAAACAACTACAACAGCAGAGCAGCACTTCGATATAGCTGCTCATCAGCAATATACCCGTCGGCGAGTGGCACGTTGCCATTTTAGCTTAACGAGATTTGCGGCCAATGGGCGAACGCAACAAATGGACACAAGCTGCTGGCTACACGCCCATGAGCGCTTTCTACCGCCCATCAAGTTCGGGGCTCATGACACCGACTAGAGTGTCTGTCTGGCTGCTGTCATTGGAATGTTCTATCAAATTTCGGTTAAATTACAGAATAAATAGACTTTTATCGTCATAATTTGTGCACAGCCTTGTTATCCTTTTCTTGTGGGGCCAGAGCATATGTATCCTTGTTGATCAGTAAACGAGCCACCAAGCACGTGCCCTGTGTACGCCAGCGCAAACTACAAACACTCATGTCAAATATTAAGTATACGCACTATGTTATGTGCCCCAGACATTTGTCGATTGTGAGCGAATAAGGTGGCTAGCCCAACAGGACTTCCCTGGGGCAGGCTGTTTAATTGGCATGCCAAGACAAGTAAATAATTATCATATCAGTTACAATAACGCCAGACAGACGCAAACAATCAGCTGACCTACAAATAGACAGCTAGCAATCGAAGAACCTTCACTGCACTCACACAAAGTGGAGTACATTTCATTAGATAAAAGCAGCTTAAGGGCAATATCCATATTACAAAAAGTATTTTATGAATAAGCAGAGCTAAAACAGAGAAATTTACAATCAGAACAGAACTCAAGCCTGAGCCTTTAATTAATAAAACAGAAATCAACATCGACTAAATTAATGAATGCACAAATCCAAATGATATAAAATCATTGAAAATTAAATTAAGGCTAATTTCATTTGATTCATTTACCTTTAGTTTTATGTCTGATATTTAGGTAATATATATTTGCATTTGAATTACCTAAACCCTGCCTTTTCCCACTTGTCAGGCTCTACTGCTACGCCCAGAAACATGTCAAGTCTATTAAGGCGGTAACACGACCCGGCGAGGTGGCCGAGAAGCAACGGTACAAGAGCATACGTCGACCCAAGAATCAGCCAAAGAAGTTCAAAGTGCGTAACTTGCATCACAGCTCGCCGTACCACGTATCCGATCACAAGGCAGCGGTCACAGTGGGCGTCATAATGGGCGTCTTCCTCATATGTTGGGTGCCATTCTTCTGTGTCAACATAACGGCAGCCTTTTGCAAGACGTGCATCGGCGGCCAGACATTCAAGATACTTACCTGGTTGGGCTACTCGAACTCCGCTTTCAATCCGATCATCTACTCAATTTTCAACAAGGAATTCCGGGATGCGTTCAAGCGCATACTGACAATGCGCAATCCGTGGTGCTGCGCCCAGGACGTGGGCAATATACATCCACGCAATAGCGATCGCTTTATCACGGACTATGCCGCCAAGAATGTGGTAGTCATGAACTCGGGCCGCTCCAGCGCCGAGCTGGAGCAGGTCTCTGCAATTTGACCAAAATGCTGCTGCAATGCAACCAGTTGGCTCTTGTGCAGCTGCTGCTGCACCGACAGTGGCCTCAATGTGGAGGATGATGATGATGGCGCATTGACCAACCGTTACGTTCCATGAGATTCGGTCGCGGCGGCCACAACAACCATCGTGGAGACCGTGGAGGCCGCACAAATGGAAACGGAGCTGGTCTAAAATTGGTCAGAAATTGGGTTCCTACACGCATCAATAAATGCGTAGCAATCCCAGCCCAAAGCACGATTAACTAATCCCAAAGCAAGTGAAAAACCTGTAAGTATTATCAGCGCATCCTAGAATCCTAAGCAATCTACTAACCGTTATTTCTAAGAGTGTTTATACTTAACCGTAGCCATAAGTTATATCTTCATAATTGTATGAAACTAATTGCTAACTAATAACCGAGTCGTGATTAGGTCTAAGATCCCCACACCAAAGAGCTTCTAAATAGTTGAACTGTTAAGTTTTTGTTACGATTTAGCCATGCTATGGTAGCTATCAGTAAATGTTATAAACAGTATAATGTGAATGTGGCCAACGCTCGAACGGATTAAGTGTTCCTTTGACCCCTTGACAAGGTACAGCAGCTAAGTCAAATAATGGCACACGTCAAATATATATTTCTGAAAACGGACAATACACACTCACACTCACACTCACACACACGCACACTCACACTCTCTACACACACGGTATGACATAGTTCCCATTCACAAGTGGCAACAAAACGTAGCATACAACTCAGCGCTCACTGGCAAGGGCCATATACGGGTGGCAAACAAAGCTTTAGATTTGAATTATTGATGGGAATTTATGTGCCATTGAGCAGCGTCGAACATTAAATGTGGCACAAAACTGCCAACTGCAGTCATAAATCAGTCAAAAAATAATAACGATTTACGAGCATTATAAGTATAATATTTAAATCCCCCCCGCAATACACAATGCAACGTTTACCGTTTAGCTTATGCTGGTATCGAGTTTCTCAATCGGATTTATGTTTATGCAAATTTATAGCGTTTATTTGTGCATAGATTTATTTCTATTACAGAAATATTAATAAGAGTTCCACATAATAGTTTTGATTGACGATAATTGCAATCATTAGATTTATAAATTTAAATGCCGTTATTGCCAGTTCCGATTTCAAGTGATTTATTGATTTGTTTAATTATTAGGAAAAAAAAGAAATATGTTGGCAAAAAAATAATAAAACATTCCAGCGTGCATTGCATGGCTCAAACAAAACATTTTCATCGATAGTTTTGCAGCAGAAATATATTTAATTATATTCCATAATTACGAAGCACACTTCAACGTCAACTTGAAATTTTAATTAGTATTCAACTGTGATTGGCAGACGCGAAATTTGAGCACAATTGGAAAGCCAAGTTGCTGAACAGGTCGTTAGAAAGGTTAACCAAAGCGTTGGGCTCTGATTACCGAATGATTTAATGAGCCTCACCTGAAGCGCCGTAATGCGAACTCGCATTGTTGACGGCGAAAACACCTTAGCTGCTCCACTCGCTCCCCTACTGTCTGTCTGACAGCCAGAAGATAATGAACATGTGGCCCCCGCTCAGTCCCTGCCCGACAGCTGAAGTGAAACAAATGTAAACAGTTTGCTTTTCATGCCAAACAACACCAACTGCTCTCAGCCCTTAGTCATATAATGAAAAATTACGCTGCTAGAGCTCAACATTTCTACTTCTTTGCTTTGCCTTCGGTTGAGGCTTCAGATACATTTTCGCTTAAGTATTTGTGTATGCTGAAATCCCTTGCGGCATCCTTCAACCGCCTCTTTTGCGCAACTCAACTCTTTGCTCTGTTAATTATGTGTAGTCCCTGACAATCCGCTCAAATATTCGCAATCAAGCTTATGTCTTCTTTTTATACCCAATAGCAATTAAATTGGCCCAGCCGGGTATAAAGCAGTTCAGATGTATTTAGAGGAATATTCCGTACTTTTCCAAAAAATCACATAGAACTTCCTAAAGTCCAAAAATTGGGTAAATTTTATTCCATTTTGTTTTTCTTTGTGAATGATGTTTAATTATTTCTTAAGGTAAAATATGATGATACAAATTTCAGTATCTCTCTAGTGTCAACTTCCTTCACGCTTTCTTATCAAGTGATATATAAGCTACAGGGTATCCTCTCGGCAAGCTTTTATTGCTTTTTATCATTTTTGTTTTGTTTTATATTTGTTTTGGCAGTTTATTAAAAGCAGCTGCTGTCGTCATTTTAATTACAATATACTTATTTATACTGGCTCGTACAGCAAAGGAATTCACTCATTCATTTAGCCACGCCCACCGCCTTTGTGCGTATGGTAAGGGTTTGCCAAAGCTTTTTGGCTCATTTCCTTTTAACATCTGGCACGCAATCAATTCCACTTTTGTTTGCGCCGTGCATGTTGATCGCACGTGCCAACTTTTCCGGCATCGAAGTTGGGAGCTGTTGCTGTAAGTCAGGGAAAGGCTTGAATTGCGCTGTTCGACTACTGTGCCCATCACGCACCAAGGTGCCGGCAGGAGTTGCGATGGAGACACCATTGTCAATGCTATTGCCGCTGCGATTGGCATTGACATTGGTGTTTGTAGCCCGCCCAAATGGCAAATGGCATGATAAATATTCTAAGCTTTGGCGTTTTTACGCCACGCGCCAGTAATATGTGGTTATATTTAGAGGCCGCATTGCTGTGCTCATTTCTGGTTACACAATTCGATACAAGGTTGCATTGCGTTCACCCCTTGGAAGTGCCACGAATGGGACAGAAGTTGGCTTTCGGTCGCCTTTTGTCTTTGCCAAACCCTTTATTGATGTATTGTGCTATTAGGGGGCGTAAGAGCATGTCAACCATCTTTAAGGTATCGTGCTCCTCATTCTGCCTCTTTTTTCCATTCTTTTATAGTCTTATTTTTTGGCTGTTTGAACGCCAATCTCTTCAATTTGTTTGAAGATTTCTATCTGCTTACTTCCCTGCAATTTTGAACCTTTCTCCTTGGCATTGCATTTCGCTTGAAGCGCTCTTAGCTTTTGGCTTTTCAGGCGTCATGGATTTTGGGCATTGATTTTTTGCGACGCTTAATTGAAACATTTGTCGTTTTGTTTTGTTTGAAAACGATTGGCCAGGAAGTTGGCCAATTTCAGTGTGCGTGTTCTGTAATTATGTCAGCGAGCACCATGCTACTGTGTACATGCATATATTTGTACTTACTTCGCTACGTGCCGTGCATGATAAGAGTCGAATGGGTCCCTGGATGCCTAGCTGGGTAGACCTCAATCAGCGCAGCGTTGCGCAAAACAAACCAAAGATGCCCGTTCATTAGCATATTTGGCGAACAAAGAATCGGTCGTGCTTTAACAGTCTGTCGACAGACGCTGCTTGATGGCCCACTAGCTGCATTACGTATACGCACCGTTGCACATGCTGCTGCTTAAACAAACAGATTTCTTGTAATTGCTTTCGCAATTCAATTATTTGCCACAAAGACTCAAAGCAAGCCTCGGAAAAAGAGAAAAATATATACACAACCATCAGTGTCAACAGCCAGAGCAAACAATTAAAATTTCAATGCAAATAAAAATACAATTCAATTACTGCGCGTGCTCGATTTACAAAAAATAAATAAATAAAATAACACAAATGAATGTTAAATAAACATTTACCTGCAATTAAAGCAACATTTAAAATATGGTTCTCTTGCATTAAGAGCTTTACGCAATTGAAAAGTCCTTTAATTGAATTCGAGAATCAAGAGTGTCATAAATAAAATAAGTTTACAAGTCCTACGGATTCAATTAATATTTTTTTGAATTTTTAACTTAATATAAAGCGTCAAAGTCGTTACACAATTAAATCTTTCTTGACACATTTTATCCCTACGAATTACATTCCTTTCGATGCAATAAGACTTGTCAGACAGGACTTCTATTTAAGAGCTGGCTACCATTAAATTTTGAATTTTAAATTCAGCCTAATAATCTGAAAAGCTAACAAGGGGCAGCCCTTTGAAAAATCCTTTAAATACATATATCCTTTGAGAGCCTTTCAATGTTTGCATACAATTTATTTATATTTACACTTCGGGACGCTTTTCGTGCGCTTTGAGCAAAACTACAAATCAAATAATGTGAGTGCACAGAGTTCAAAATGTCAGGCGATAAATGTCAACGTTTCGCATAAATTGCATGTCGATTGCGAAGAAGCCAACGAACTTGGCCATCAGGCTTAGGCGCGCAAAGCGCACTGATTGATTGATTGATGGATGGATGGATGAATGAATGGCTGACGTTGCCACGAGCTGACTGGCAGTTACATTTGAAACATTTTTTTCGGGAGTTTTTAAGTGGTTGCCATTTTGCACAGATTGACATTTCATTTGCAAAGTGAAACGAACTGAACAAACTGAACTGAGAACCTTGCAGCTGCCACTAACCCCTCCTATGGTTGGGCTGAATGCTCCCATCCACTGCAATAACGTAAGTCGAGCCCACCGCGCAACAGTTGTCAACAGTTGTCAACAGTGGGCAATAACTCACGCAAAATGTCGCCCTGAGCTCTAGTTGGGTTTTAGTGAAACTTTAGTGGCACGCAGACCCATGCGAAACGCCCTCCACTCATAATACCCGAATAATACCCGCCACACCCTCTGGGCGTTGAATTTATTTTGGTGTTTTTATGACTTTGCGCCTTAAAGTGTTTATTTCGTTTTACGACTTTCTACAAATTCTACTTGGTGCGTGTCATTCGGCTGCCTACTTTCAGCAAAAGCGCTGGTCGCTCGTATTACGTTTACGTAGACGTAACGTGCACTTCTACGTATACGTAGCTCAAAATGTTTTATTACCAGCGTTGTGGGGCGTGCTAATTTATACATTCGCTTGGGGTTCCGTTTAATGCCCTGGGTCACGACCCAATGCTTCATAAAAACACGCTTTTAATCACAATTTTTGCTTATGCGCCTGGATTTTGGCAAAGC